CCTGGGTCCAGGTACAAGGACATGGTCACAGAGGACTAGAGCGGATAGTGAAACAACCAGCTGATATGAAGAAAGAGGAGATGCACAAGAAAAATCATACTTGCAGATAGTACCCATTTGATCTGGCTTCAATGGCTAGATGATCAGAACTCAACTAGAGGAAGAAAGAAGAGGAAAAAAATAGTAATTTGCTATCATTTGATGAACTTGATCTATACTTATGGATGTAGTAGCTCAAAAGAGGGAATGAATCTTTACAGAGAGGAACATTCCCACCCCCTCGATACACAACATTTACAGGGATGGACAACTTAGACATTGGCTACCCAAAATGGGGCTGGGGCACTACAAAGGCAAGAAGTGACTGGCTTACAAGCTTTAAAGAGGGAGCCTAGTTTCAGAGTATGTAGGGGGAGGTAGAATCTCCACTGAATGGCTTCCAACCTGTCTGGAAGGGGTTGGTGAAAGGAGATAAGATTCTTATGGTTCAATAGTGAATAATTGCTTACAGGACTGATTGTGAGTGACGCAAATGTAAAGGTAGATGTTTTGTAACAAAAGGAAGGGAGTGGTTGATCTTGCAGTCCAGAAGCAGGGGACCCTGGGATGGTCAAGGGAGAAGAGCAGAGTTTGGAACACTATCCAGAGAAGTAGTGACACCAGAGATGGAGGCAGAGATGATGATGTAGAGAGATGTAGTAGCTGGGGACTGTGGACTCAGGAAGGGAGAGGGGCTGTGTGCTGGCAGCTGTGGAGCAGGCTTGCAGGTGTACCCTTTGATTATTTGAATGGTTATATATTCCTGAGTGCTTCGGTGTACATCAAAAAACAAAACAACAACAACAAAAAAAAGAGTGAATGAAAGGAAATGTTGAATGATGATGCTTGGAGGGGATTGTAATCATTGAAATGAAATGAAATATGATAAGATGAATGTAAAGCTGATATTCTCTAATGTAAACTATCACTCAATTCACAATAAAAACTTTTTAAAAAATAGTACAAGTAAAAAAAAAAACAAAAACAAAAAAAAAACACTTAGAGGCACAGGGAGCAACACAGAAAGCTAGAGACAGGATTAAGCACATGTGGTGTGTCTTGGTCTAATGAATAAATAGGAGTTGCCAGATAAAGGCCAAGATCCCTGGTGATCTGAGCACAATCTACCTTAGTAGAAAGTAATAGTCACAGTTCACTTGCTGGTAAAATGAGACGCTTGGGTGGAGCTGGAAATTAAGTAAGATGACATGTATAAAACAATCAGAAAGTGTTTTCATTTATTTTCAAGAAAATTGAGAGGATGTATGTAGCCTTAGGAATCGGAACCAGCTCAATGGCGCTGGGAGAACTATTTGAAGACTTTCGAAGTCTTCAGCCTCTGTACCCACTAAAGATATTACCTCACTCTCTTTGGACTCACCATTCCTTATCACCATCAATAAAAGTCACTAGAAGATTCCCTAGTGCCTTGTGGCAAGAACTTATAGACCCAGCTCCCTCCTAGCCATAGGTTTGGTACTTATTTACGGGTGACATTGACTCCGCAGCCTCACTAGTTGAACCTTATGCTCCCAATCTGTAAAATGAGGAAACTTGAAAGGCCTGCAGAGCCTTTTCACCTAGATAGTCCATGTTTTCACTCTTTCCTGGGCTGTGGTTGGGAGAATGAGGGAAGCAGAATAGGAGGGACAGTTCTTCTTAAAACATTCCCCTAATTCCTTAGCTTCCCAGTGGGATCTCCTTAAGTGAGATTGTGAAACTGATGGAATGGAATTTCGAAGAGGGCTCTTGTTATCCTAAATCACTGATATTCAGGCTGGCATTATCTGGCTTCTGCCTCTCATGTTGGACAGTTGGACAACAATGCTTGGTTCCCAAAGGCCAAGTTAGTGAAGGGTAAGGAGAACCTACAAATAACTGTTACTTTTTGAACAGTGTCTCTCCCTCTACCAGGACTTACTGGCTGATATGATGGGTTCTGGGTCTGAGAGAAAGTTGCTCAACTTCTTCAACACCGTCTTACCAATAGCCTCTTCACTGGCTCAGTTACAGTCCAGCAAACTCTGCTGTATTACTGAGCTTTGTTGAGTTGTAATCTGGCAGGCAGGTCCCTTCATCTCTCCATTCCTCCTCAAACAATGAGGCATTTGTATTGGATGATGGAAGCTTCCTGCAAATTCGGCTGTTCTCTCCCATCTCCACCTTGACAGATTCTATCTGAAGACTCAATTAGCAGCCTGATCCCTCCCCGACACCCGACTATGTGGCAGCATCTTTATTCTTTGACCTTGGCCAAAGATAAAATATGAGTGACCTAAGGAGAAGAGAAAAGGGAGGCAGATGGGAGGAAAACATGGGAGAGGAGAAAGAGATATGGAGACTGTGGAAGGCACACACACACATACACAAAAAGAGGATACATTAGATAATGGAACAAAGAAGCAAAGAGAAACAAAAAGATATCAAGTGGTCAGTAGAGACTCGTTGTCAGACACAAACAGAAGAGTGTGCCAGTTAGGGAAATGAAGAAGAATGAGGACAAACTACAACTTCAAAGTTACCGAAATGATCTTTCACCCTAGAGTCAGACTGTAAGGTGGTATTCACGTCTAAGGTAGACCAGAGAACCCAGCCCAACCCAGGGAGTCATCCAATAAGAGACCCCTCCCCACGAACTGTGGGTTGTGGATGCCCGTTTCTGCTCAGGAACTTGGCGTCCCCAGCAGGAAGGGGGTGGCTGGCTTGTCTCCAGATCTTGTATCAAAGGTGCTAGATACTGAAGGAATGAATAGGCTGGGCCAAAGCTGCCAGACAATTTCAAATTCTGCAACCACCAGACAAGCCAGCCTCTCTTCAGCATGGAATCTTCTGGACTTTTGAGCATGCTGGTACTATTCATCCTCGTACCAAATGTCCACGGACCTGGGCTGAATGACTGGCTCTTCCCCAGTAAGTAATGGGGCCTCCTCCTAGGGCTTGGAGCAAGGGAAGTTGACTGGGAGGAGGGAACAAGGAACAATTCCTTAGGCCTGGGTTGTATTCCAAACCAAGTCCTGGTTTGGGAGATGATGGAGATATTTGGTCTATTTCTTTCTATCTTCCTCCCTGTGAAATATCCCTCCTGGGAATCCAGGAACCCAAACATGAGGTAAACCCCCACTTTGATCCCCTTTTAAGTGGAGGGTCTTTCTTGTCGGGGGAGGGGAAGGAGAATCACGGGATCTAGTCTTTATAGGAGGAGTAGTTGTATAGGAATCTGGGAAGCTTAAGGGTCCTTTCCCCTACCCCATAAGAAAGACCCCTCTCTTGGGATAGTATCCCTATCAGCTCCTGTTTTTTTTCAAATATAGCCCTAAAATGTACCTACATCCCACAAAACTTCCCTGACTTTGAGATAAAGAACACTATCCAGAAATCCCTTTAACCCCCAAACCCTAATAATCCATCACAGTACAGTCATAACAATCCTACAGATCCTATATAAGGTTTCAGAAGAATGGCTGGTGGGTTTGAAATACCAATCTAGTGATTAGCAGTCCAGTGCTTAGACTTAGTGGGTTCAAAACCTGGTTCCACCACTTGGACAAGTTACTTAAATTCCACGTGCTTCCATTTCCTCATCTATACTTAATAGGACATACTTCATAGGAGTCCTGGTGTGGTGCTGTAGGATAGGTACTGGACTGCTAACCACAGGTTGGTGGTTCAAACCATCGAACTGCCCCTTGGACATGCTTTACAGTGTAGCTGTAAGTCAGAACTGACTCAATAGCATTTAACAGCAACTTAATAGAGAATACTTCATAGAGCTGTTACGGGAATTAAATGAGATTATGTATTTTAAATGCTTAGAAGAGTGCTTGGTTTATGGTAACTTAACAAATGCTAGTTAATATTACTGTGCACCAATCAATTTGGTTCAGACTGGGTAAGTGGCAGACCAAGAGTTAGAATTTTAAAACGTTACAGTCTGACTCTAGGGTGAAAGATCTTAACCACTGTATATTAGCGCTACCTAAAGGAATGGACTCCACAGCACTTAACAACAATAACAACAAAGGAACTCACAGGACCAACTCATGGACAGTGTTAAAGTGACCAGGTAAACCTAGAATGGTGGTGGTGGTGTGTCCTGGAGTTGGTTCCAACTCATAGTGACCCTGCATATGGTTTCTGAGGCTGTAAATCTTTACGGGAGCAGAAAACCTCATCTTTCTCCCATGGAACAGCTGGTAGTTTCGAACTGCTGACCTTGCGGTTCACAGCCCAATTCGTAACCACTACACTACCAGAGCTCCTTGAACTTAGGGTAGTAGTTCTCAATGGGGATGATTTTGCTCCCAAAAGGATATTTGCAATGGTAGGGTGAGCTAATTGCAAGGTTGGCCATTCAAACCCACCAACTACTCCATAGGAGAAAGATGAGCCTTTCTGCTCCTGTAAAGATTTATAGCCTCAGAAACCCTATTCAGTCAGAATTGACTTGATGGCATTGGGTGGGTGGGAGACAGTTTTGCTTGTCTCAACTAGGAGCTGCTACTGGCACCTAGTGGAGAGAGGCCAGGAATACTGCTAAACCTCCTACAATGCACAGGATAATCTCCCACACAGAACAATCATCCAGCCCAGATAGCAATACTTCTGAGGTTGTGAAACCTTGCTTTAGAAGGGGTGGGACAAGGCCTGGGGTATGAACGCTGAGAAAGAGGGTTGGTTAGGAGGAATGGTAGCATAGGTGGCGCTGAGAAGTACATGAGGTGACCCTGAGAAAAAGGAAGAAAAAAATCAAACTTCCTTGACCCCTAGCATTGCCTTGAGTTGGAGAAGTTTGGGTGCTGTGCCTCCCAGGACTCAAGGTAATAAATATGCCTACTCTTTTCTAGAGAGATGTCCCAGAATCCAAGAACAATGTGAATTCAAAGAAAGGGATCAGTGTACCAAGGACAAACACTGCCAGAACAACATGAAGTGTTGCCACTTCAGCTGTGGAAGAAAATGTTTAAACCTCCGACAAGGTAATATTCAGAGTTTTGGGCCAGCCCCCTACCAGTACCTCCATCTTCTGCTTAACTGAACTGGCATCATCCCATGGTTCACTGGGGGCTGGTCTCTGGACAAGGTTGCTCGACTTGGCATGCAGTTTCTTCAACTAATGTGGTGTGAACATTATGTGACAGATGAAGGTTTCTTGACTACTTTTAACTCTTTCTGAGTCACTAGGTGACCATTTTGCCCTAACGTATACTAACGTCGTTGTTGCAAGTGCTAATGAAACAAATTATAATCCTTGTCTTTTTGCTCTGGAATGGCCATATATCTGCCTATAGAAATCTACCTTTGCATCTTCATCTACTTCTAGGAAGCCTCCCTTGACCATTCCAAATCAGAGAGTTCTTTCTTTGCTACTGCAATCTTAACTTCAGGTCTTCTCCCTAGGCTCTAAAAAGACTATCAAGGATTCTCTATTCATTTACTTAATAAAAAGGTTTTGAGTGGTTCTGATACCCATAATAGGATTAGAACCTAAGGTGGTCAAAGAGGTTGGGGAAGGCTTCCCTAAAAAAAACCAGCCTGGAGTTGAGATCAGAAAGATGGGTAATTATTTAGGCAAAAATTGGGTGGGAGGGTTTTCCAGACAAAAGGAATAGTATGTACAAGGCTCAGTGGTGAGGGGCTGCATGGTGAGGTGTAGAGAGACAAGAGAGTGAACACAGTACAAGAAAAATGTAGGTAGGTTGGGATCAAGTGGTGCCGTATCTGGTAGGCTGGGTTAGAGGTTGGCCTTGGAGTAGGGCAGTGTCAAGACCAGGTTTATTCTATGCCTTTAGAGTGGGAAATGAAAACAGGAACAGAATATCTTGTAGTTCAGGATGAAAGAAAATGGTATCTTAGGTGAGGGAGGTAGTTGAGGACATTGAGAGAGTGGGATGTGTTTAAGAGATATTTAGGAGGTAAACAGGACTTGACAATGAATGAGAGTGGGTAGGTATGGAGGGAAGAGGAATTGGTTCTACACTAGTAATTATTCTGAATTCAGACTTCTCACTTTAAATCTAGCTCCAGTTTTTACCAGCGTTTTTATCATGGGCAAATTTACAAGTCTGCCTCTTTTTCCTCAGATCGCAAAGTTATTTTGAAGTCATTTTGAGGCTCTTATAAGTCGATGTGCATGAAGTGCTTAGAACAATGCTTAGCACATAATAGTCACATGGTACATATAAAATCCAAACCAAACTCACTGCCTGCCATTGAGTTGATTACTCAACCCTGTAGGGTAGAGTAAGACTGCTCCACAGGGTTTCTGAGACTAAATCTTTATGGGAGCAGATGGCCTCATCTCCCTCCCATCTTTCTGTTAGCAGCCCAATGCTTAATCCACTCCACTACCAGGGTTCATTTGATATATATTGTTGTTGTTGTTGTTGTTAAGTACCGTGGACTTGATTCCAACTCATAGTGACCCTGCACAGGGTTTCCGAGGCTGTAAATCTTTACGGGAGCAGAACGCCTCATCTTTCTCCCGCAGAACTGCTGGTAGTTTTGAACTGCTGACCTTGTGGTCCACAGCCCGATTTGTAACCACTACGCTACCAGAGATGGAGTTATTATTTGTTATTCTTGATTGTGACCTTCTTAAAAAGTAGAAGTCACATCATTTCTTAAAGCATTAAGCACATAGTAGATATTCAATGAAAGTCCCTACATTGAGCAAACAGTTAAAGCGATTGACTGCTAACAAAAATGTTCTAGGTTTGATTCCACCCAAAGGTACCTTGGAAGAGAGTCTTGGTGATCGACTTCTGAAAACTTAGCCATTGAAAACCCTGTGACTCATAGTTCTACTCTAACATACATGAAGTCTCCATGAATTGTAGTTGTCAAAAACAGGCAACTATTTTTTGTTTATTTGTTTGATGTGCTTAATGAATAATGAATTCAGTTCAGCTCAGGATACTTTTCTTTGGTTTTGTTTTTGTTTTTTACGCTCAGCATCCCATCGAGTCCTATACTGTGCCAGACCGTCTCATAGGAATTGGAGTTCCAAAATGAAATAAGATGCTTACTAGAAGGTCATAACCTCAAGACTAAAATAGGATATGAGGGGGCTTCAGAAAGTCCATGGAAAAATAGAATGAAAAGATAACGGAGTTTTCTGAAAAGGAAATCAGGAAAACAATACCACTTACAATCAAAAGATGAAATTGTTGTTGTTAGTGCTGTTAAGTCAGTTCCCACTCAGAGTCACCCTGGACAGGGTTTCCAAGGAATGGCTGGTGGTTTGAACCACCATTATGTTTAGCAATTCAGTGCTTATCCTACAGCACCACACCTAGGCATAAATCTAACTGGAGAAACAAGAGACCTATACAAAGAAAACTACAAAACGTTACTACAAGAAACCAAGAAACTTACAAAAATGGACGAATATACCATGTTTATGGATAGGAAGTCTTAACCTTGTGAAGATGTCAACACTACCCAAAGCAATCTATAGATATAATGCAATCCCAATCCAGATTCCAATGTCATTCTTTAAAGAGATGGAAAAGCTGATCATTAAATTTATATGGAAAGGAAAGAGACCTTACATAAGCAAAACATTACTTAAGAAGAAGAACAAAGTTGAAAGCCTCTCACTTCCTGGTCTTAAAAATTACTAAATAGCCACCGTGCTCAAAACAGCCTGGTACTAGTACAAAAATCAAGACACAGATTAATGGAACATAATTGAGAACTCAGAGGTAAATCTATCCACACATGCCAGCTGATCTTTGACAAAGGGTTGAAACACATTAAATGGGGAAGAGATAGTCTCTTGAACAAATGGTGCTGGCAAAACTGGAAATCCATTTGCAGAAGAATAAAACAATACCCATATCTCCCACCATATACAAAAGCAAACTCAACGTGAATTAGAGAACTAACTGTAAAACCTAGAACTAAAAAGATCATCAATGAAAAAATAGGGACACACTTAAACAAGGTATAAACACACTATCAAACAGAACTGAAAACACACAAACAGCAAAAGACAAAATAGAAACTGGGACCTCTTAAAAATTATACACTTAAGTACATCAAAAAATTTCACCAAAAGAGTACAAAGAGAGCCCACAGACTGGGAAAAAAATTTTGCAGTGACAAATTTTGCAATGGCAAGGAACTACTCTCTAAAATATGTAGAAAACAATGACACCTCTACCAGAAAAAGACAAACAACCCATTAAAAAATGGGCAGAGGACATGAGCAGGCACTTTAGCAAAGGAGACAATCAAATGGCCAACAAACATATGAAGAAGTGTTCACCATTTTTCTTATTAGTTGTTATTAAGTGCCGCCGAGTTGGTTCCAACTCATAGTCACCCTGTATAGGATTTCCAAGAGGCAGCTGGTGAGTTTGAACCACCGACCTTGCAGACCATGGCTTATCCTACAGTGCCTCACCAGGACTCCCTCCTGAGCCATTAGAGAGATGTTAATCAAAACAATGAGATATTATCTCACCCCCAGCATTAATAGCAAAGTTAAAAAAAAAATTAGAAAACAACAAACATTGGCAAGGGTGTGCAAAGACTAAGACCCTCCCATATTGATGATGAAACTGTAAAATGGCACAACCACTGTGGAGAAAAGTATGGCACTGCCTCAAAAACTTAGAAATAGAAATACCATATGACCCAGCAATCTCTCTGTGTGGTATATATACCCCCAAGAAAGAAAAGCCATGACTGGAGTAGATACATGTACACCCACTAGTCACAGTAGTAAAGAGATGAAGACAGCCTAAATGTCAATCAGTGGCAGAATGGATAAACAAACTTTGGTACATACACACAATGGGATACCAGGCAACTTTGAAGACTAACGATGAATCCGTGAAACTCACGACATGGATGAACCTGGAGGACATTATGCTGAGTCAAATTAGTCAATCACAAAAGAACAAATATTGTATAAGACCATTATTGTAAACATTCAAGAAAAGGTTTTCATGCTAAAAGAAATATTCTTTGATGGTTACCAGGGATGAGAGGAAAGGGAGAGGAATTCACTAGCTCGGGTATACACATTGTTAGCTCAGATGATGAGGAGGGTAGTATACAAGAAAAGGGAGGCTGGGAGAAAAATGATGAAGACAAGTTAAGACACAGGGAGGAATGCAAGAGTTAAAAGGAGTAGAGGTAAATAATATTATATACACAACCCTGGAACAACCGTGTTCTGTGGGTAGATACATGGACAGATACACAGGCTGAATGGCTAAGGGAGGGAGAGTGGGAGTGTACCACAAATATATATGAGTTTGACAGAGGATATTTATGCATAGGTATTTAACTTGACTGCAAACACATCTAGAAATGTGGTGGAGCATACAGAGGCAAAATGAGGAAAACCTCTGAGATATTAACAAGCATAAGGCAATGAGTTTCTGGGGCTGGGAGCTCAGGACTATAGTCTCAGGGATACCGTGGTCAGTTGGCATAACATAGTCTCCAAAGACAATGTTCTACATACATTCTCCTTTGGTAAGTAGCCACAGGGATCTTAAAAGCTCATAAGTGGCCATCTAAGGTGCAACTATTGGTCTCTCCATGTGTGGAGGCAAGAAGAGTGATGAAAATTGAAGATATCTGGACTCAACTAATCCAATGGAACATGTAAACATCAGTCACCAGGACTCTGAGACCAGAAGACCTAGATGGTGCCTGGCTCTGAAAGGGATTACATTACAAGATAAAGAAAATGTGGAACAAAAATCAAATATATATATATACACAACTACTGGGCTTACTGGTCATAAAGATACCCAGAACCTGAGACTATGGCCCTCAACCATCCTTCTGATCTGGAACAGAACTTACTCTTGTGACCCAATTTTCAGCTAAGCAGTAGATAGGTATATGTTGTTGTTGTTATGTGCCGTGGAGTCGGTTCCAACTCATAGCGACCCTGTACAGGGTTTCCGAGGTTGTAAATCTTTACAGGAGCAGAAAGCCTCATTTTTCTCCCTCA